CTTTTCTTTTCTTTTTTTTTTTTTCTTTTTTTTTTAACTACGCTATATTCTTCTCTCCAATTCTTTTTGCCTTTCAGTACGGAACGATTAATAACATTTGAAAGATGATGAAAGATTTGAGAGAAGAATATAGCGTAGTTTTAGAAGACGGAAAAAAAAAACGAAAACCAAGAAATCGTAAAGATTGTCGGTTTATTTTTTTTTTTATTATAAGCAGTTATTATGACTAACAACGGATCCGTTGCTAATTTAATACCTGCTGTTGGGAGGAACAACAACAACAACAACAACAACAACAACAACAACAACCAAAAAAAAAAAAAAAAAAAAAAAAAAAAAAAAAAAAAACAACCGAAAAAGAGGAAGAACAAAGAATTACAAGCAATGCCTGTCCAGTCCATGCATCCATGCATGTCCACTGCATGCATCGAACACAACCTATTTTGCTTCCGCACACGCTCACCAATGATGCACATTACTCATCCTCCCTGTGCACATGCTGTTTTAACAAAGAAGAAGAACTTCACGACTGTCACAGAAGAAGAAGTGTACTAAGTCTTTTGAGAGTTTGTCAGATGCTCAAACCCCTAGCGTTTAGCATCTGACAAACTCTCAAAAGACTTAGTACACTTCTTCTTCTGTGACAGTCTTGAAGTTCTTCTTCTTTTGTTAAACCGCTAGCTAGTAGCTGCTGTTTAGAAAAAGAAGAAGAAGAAGAAGAAGAAGAAAGAAGAAAGAAGAAGAAGCGTAAGTCTTTTGAGAGTTTGTCCGACCATCTGTGTCAGTGGATTTTACAGGCCGCGGTTGGTTAGGGATGGCCTTTGGCCGGGAGTCCCCGCTCAGCCCCGCAAGGGTGTGGCACTTTCGTGGGGACTCCGGAGGCTCTTCCCTTTCGTTTTAAAAGATGAAGAAGAAGAAGAAGAAGAAGAAGGAAGAAGGAAGAAGGAAGAAGGAAGAAGAAGAAGAATTAATAGAGATAAAGGGCGACAGATTAAGAAGAAGAAGAAGAAGAAGAAGAAGAAGAAGAAGAAGAAGAAGAGAGGGAGACAGAGTAACATAAATTTCAAATTTAAATTAAATAAAAAAGATTAACATAAATGTGCTTGCTTCTGTAGCCACTTGAACAATGGTAAGAGCCAGAAAAAAAAAAAAAAAAAAAAAAAAAAAAAAAAAAAAAAAAAAAAAAAAAAAAAAAAAAAAAA